AGGGTTACAATGAGCCTTTGAAGCAAACACTATCAGCCAGAAGCTCAGAACCCTTGGGGCACAGCCAGAGCTTTGCCACAATAAGTTAGCTACAGGGGAAGCCTCCCCTACCCCAGCATCCAGAGCAGAGCGCTTCAGGGAACAGCTAGCCACTTTGAGTAGTCTGGGGCTGCTGGCAGGCAGGAAGCCTTCCTTGGAGTCCTGCAGGGCTGCTGGCCAGGAGCTGCCTTGGTAAGCACCTACTGAGCAGAACCTACCTCTGACACACCACCCCCTCCCTGCACCTCAACTCCCTGCCCCCGGTCACCATCCCATCCTGACCCAAGTCACCAACCAAACCCTCTGCACTCCCTCTTGCACTCCTCCCCAGGCCAGAATCTTCTCCTGCTCAATACCCTCTCCCTGACCCTGCACCCATCCCCAGATCAGAACTCCCTCACAAACGCTGCACCCACTCATAGAATCATAGGACTGGAAGGGACCTCAAGAGGTCATCGAGTCCAGCCCCCCGCCCTCAAGGCAGGACCAAGCTCCTACACCCCTCCTCCAGGCCAGAATCTTCTTCGGCACCCATAGCCCTTCCAGAACCTGCACCAGATCACAATTCTCCCTCTCATCCAAACTCCCTCTACAGAAATGTGCAGCCCCTAACCACTTACCAAAATCTTGGATTGGCCCATCAAAAATTATTGCCCACCCCTGGTATAATGGAATTTCAAGCACACTGGTTATTAATCTTCTAGTCTTTGAAAAGAATGGCTATTTAAATTGTGCCAACCAACTTCATAAACCTATTAATATCACTGTAATTTTTGTATTTTTGCCCATAATGCAGATAATGTACCAAATGTATCACAGGCCTCAAATGTATGTGCATTTGTAAAGGATAATGCAAATCAGAATCTTTATGGGTGGATAATATCCATAATTACAAGATGGGTTCTAATATTCTAATCTGAAAAATGGGAAATAACTGTAAGAGGACATTTTGCACTTGTCTGCTTTATAAATAAAAGTATCTGAGAATCAATCAGAACAAAATGTCTCCTCCTCATCTAAGAAATCAGCAGTATCAAATAAAAGCTTTTGAAAGACACTAATTTACACATGAATGCTTTGTTTCAGCATTATACTGGTGGTATTTGGAAAATGATTTTTTAATTGATAGTCACCCTTAAGTCTAAAACTTTTCCTGTTCACATGAAATATTGCACAGTCCACAAGGTTAATTACAGGCATGACAAAACACAGTCAATGAAGATTAGAATGTCAAGGCTAATCTATCTATATCTATCTGTGCATCTGTCTGTCCGTTTGTTCAAGAATTTCTCCTAAACCATAAGAGCTAGGAATGCCAAATTTGGTGTGTAGCTTCCACTCACTCTAACTTAAACGAAGGTCAGGGTTTGGTTGTGTCTGGAAAATGAGAAATGCCGGGAATTGAACTATTTCCCATAACATGAAAGGGGAGGGGCAGAGAGAGGAGGAATGTGAAAGCAAAGGCCACAAAGAGGGGAGGGACGCGATACTGAGAGTGGCCACTGGTGACAGCGACAGCACCACGAGAGTGGCCAGCAGGGCTAGGGTTCTACCATCTTACCTGCCAGCTCACTGGTAAGGAGCCCTCTGCCCCAAACTTAGAGCCTCCACCTCATGGAGAGCCTGCAGGAAGGTGTGGGGGAAGGGCATGCTGGAGGAGGGGGGCAGCTCCCAGAGCCTGGTCCCTCCCCAGACAACCTGCATGCCAGGGAAAGGGGGGGCAGTTCCTGGAGCTTTGCCCTCCCCAGACAGGCTGCAGAGGGGAGCCATTGAAAAGGGACAGCCCCCAGAACCTTCCCGCCATCCCAGAAAGCCTGCAGACAACAGGGAAGGGGCGCTGCAGGAAGACAGCAGTCCCCAGAGCCTTGTTCCCTCCCAGACAGACTGGGGGAGGGGGAAGAGAGAGAGACTGGAGGGGGTGGCAGCCTCTGCAGCTTCTCTCGGGGGAGGGCAACTGTGGGGGGAGGGTGCTGGCAGGGAGCGCTGTCCCAGCCCCATGGGAGGAATCAGTGCCGGAGCAGCACCATCCCTGCCACCTTGGGCGGCCCTTCCAGCCCCTTGTCCTGAGCCCCCTGCACTGAGTTCTACATCTCCCTCTTGCCTTGACTTCAGCACCTCCCCCTGCTCTAAGCACCCCAACACCTCTCAACTCTCTGCCCTCAGCCACCTACCCTCTGTTCCTCCTCACCCCAGAACTCTCACTCCAGCCTTCATTTTCAAAAAATACAATCATTGAAATAACATGTCTATTGTTCATTTATTTTTCCAAAGAAACCCAAACCGCTTCCTTCAGTTACAGACCTGAGCAATGCCTCGTACATCTGCTAGTAAAGTGTGAGTGACACACACACACATACACACACACACACACACACACACACACACACACACACTTTGTGTAAAGTTTAGTATGGAAAGACACACATGAAACATGATCAATGCTTGAAATGTTGAGATTGTGTAAAAGATTATTGAAATACATTCTCTTTTTAAAAACTGTTTTCTTAAATGATCCCAGTAATGTAGTTGAGTTCACTTACCAGCAGAGGGTGCAACTCAATATTCATATCTATTTACAGTAGCTTAATTTTCAATTTGATGTAGCACATTTATGTATACATTGGCTTGACAGATTTCAAACTTCTAAATCTTTATCATTTCTATGGAAAATATCAATGTTGCTTTTTAAGGACTGTTTTCATTTTTCATCTATTTAAATTCTGACATTTGTTGGAAAGTATGGGGGTTGGTAAGGATGTGTTCAGTGGAACTGTTCTAAAATCAGCCATTTTTAGGAGCACATCACATTTGTAGGAGCACACCACAGAAGAGAAACTGGAGAAAGATTGTTTATTATGACTCTGTGGAAAGGCAGTGGAGATGAGGCCTAATAATTCACCTTATTATATATTTTTATTGCCACAAATTTATTCCTTAGCTCCCTGCATGTGAAAACATGGCAGAAAAAAATGTGTTTCCTTGCATTTTAGTCTCCTGCTCCCCTTTTCTTTTTAAGCATTAACATAAGCAGAGTAAAGAACTATCGTGGAGCTACTCTCAGCCAGCCATATCTGGTTGAAACCCATATCTTCTCAATATGTTAAGATTTAATCACCAAGATATTTTACTTACCACTCCAGGGAATATTTTTTGCAGTCTTTCTGCTGCCGCAAGTGCCTTAGGCTTCCCACCATCAAGACAATCTTCAAATTCATAGAGAGGCTGTCGTACAGGGTTGGAATAAGAGATTTTTGCATTGTCCACAAATGTGATCTGTCTGACTCCCCATCCCTAAACAAACAAAAAAATCAAAATAATTGGTAATGACTAATTGAACACTGTAAGACTTGGTTCAAAGGATGTAACAAACTCCTTTAAATCTATAGCATCAAAAGAATAAGTGAACTTTTTTCACAATTTCAGATTCTAGGTTTAAATGCAGATTAAGTTATTAAAGTTTTAAGAACATAAGAAAGGCCATATTGGGTCAGACCAAAGGTCCATCTAGTCCAGTATCCGGTCTTCCCAACAGTGGCCAATACCAGATGCCCAAGAGGGAGTATACTGAACAGGTAATCATAGAATACTAGGACTGGAAGGGACCTCGAGAGGTCATCGAGTCAGTCCCCTGCCCCCACGGCAGGACCAAATACTGTCTAGACCATCCCTGATAGACATTTATCTAACTTGCTCTTAAATATCTCCAGAGATGGGGATTCCACAACCTCCCTGGGCAATTTATTCCAGTGTTTGACTACCCTGACAGTTAGGAACTTTTTCCTAATGTCCAACATAAACCTCCCTTGCTGAAGTTTAAGCCCATTGCTGCTTCTTCTGTCCTTAGAGGCCAAGATGAACAAGTTTTCTCCCTCCTCCTTATGACACCCTTTTAGATACCTGAAAACTGCTATCATGTCCCCTCTCAATCTTCTCTTTTCTAAACTAAACAAACCCAATTCTTTCAGCCTTCCTTCATAGATCATGTTCTCTAGACCTTTAATCATTCTCATTGCTCTTCTCTGGACCCTCTCCAATTTCTCCACATCTTTCTTGAAATGTGGTGCCCAGAACTGGACACAATACTCCAACTGAGGCCTAACCAGCGCAGAGTAGAGAGGAAGAATGACTTCTTGTGTCTTGCTCACAACACACCTGTTAATGCATCCCAGAATCATGTTTGCTTTTTTTGCAACAGCATCACACTGCTGACTCATACTCAGCTTGTGGTTCTCTATAACCCCTAGATCCCTTTCTGTCGTACTCCTTTCTAGACAGTCGCTTCCCATTCTGTATGTGTGAAACTGATTGTTCTTTCCTAAGGGAGCACTTTACATTTGTCTTCATTAAACTTCATCCTGTTTACCTCAGACCATTTCTTCAATTTGTCCAGATCATTTTGAATTATGACCCTATCCTCCAGAGCAGTCGCAACCCCTCCCAACTTGGTATCATCTGCAAATTTAAAAAGCAGGGCTCGATAATTAATGTAATCTACTCACCCGTAGTGAGTAGATTACAAGCCGGCACAGCCGCGAAGTGCGGTCAGCGCATGCGCAGCACGCCAAACCGCATAGCTGGCGAGTGGGGCTTGCCGCATCTTGGCCAGCCCTTTTAATAAGCATACTTTCTATGTCAATATCTAAATCATTGATGAAGATATTGAACAGAGCCCATCCCAAAACAGACCCCTGCGGAACCCCACTTGTTATACCTTTCCAGAAGGATTGAGAACCATTAATAACTACTCTCTGAGTATGGTTATCCGGCCAGTTATGCACCCACCTTATAGTAGCCCCATCTAAGTTGTATTTGCCTAGTTTATTGATAAGCATATCATGTGAGACCATATCAAACGCCTTACTAAAGTCTAGGTATACCACATCCACTGTTTCTCCCTTATCCACAAGACTCGTTATCCTATCAAAGAAAGCTATCAGATTGGTTTGACATGATTTGTTCTTTACAAATCCATGCTGGCTGTTCCCTATCACCTGCCACCTTCTAAGTGTTCACAGATTATTTCCTTAATTACTTGCTCCATTATCTTCCCTGGCACAGAAGTTAAACTAACTGGTCTGTAGTTTCCTGGGTTGTTCTTATTTCCCTTTTTATAAATGGGCACTATATTTGCCCTTTTCCAGTCTTCTGGAATCTCTCCTGTCTCCCATGATTTTCCAAAGATGATAGCTAGAGGCTCAGATACCTCCTCTATCAGCTCCTTGAGTATTCTAGGATGCATTTCATCAGGCCCTGGTGACTTGCAGACATCTAACTTTTCTAGGTGATTTTTAACTTGTTCTTTTT